TAAAAAACTGGGACAGGCTCAGCAAATGGCTGGATTGATGATTTTCAAAAGCTAATTTAATCACTTAACATGATGAAAAAGAGTACCTTAAAGAAGCAGAGTCTCCAAGAAATAAAAAATAATGTTCCCTAGACTTTGATGAATCCATTGTTGACAATATTTATCATATTTATATGATTTATCATCATATGATATGCGCCTCTGTTTCTGTGTGCAGCACATGTTCCTCACGCAGCAGTGCCTGAACCAGGACTTGACTCTGGACCTGCTGGAGAAATTTCGAAACCCTGAGAAGCTGAAGCCCTGCGTGGGGGCAGAGGACGACGACATGGAGGTGAGGGCGTCGTCCGGTGGGCTTTCGGTGGTTTCCTGACGGGTCAGAGTCTACATGGCTGCTGGAAATGGGACCTGGGCAGACTTCAGGTCCCCGATTGAGCTCGATTTGAGCTCTGAAAGACTCTGAGCTAAAAAGCAGCTGTTAGGAGGCCCCAAAAACAATGAATAATAGAATAAAATAATGACAGATTCCATTGTGTACTTGTTATTCTGCCCATTTTATAACATTTTCACAGTTTAACATGAATTATTCCACACTGAGAGGCTCCTTCAGCGCAGATAAAACGGCTTCTGAATGCTGCTACCCCAAAAAAGAAGATTGTAATATCTTTGGTTTGAGTTTTCAAATTAGCCTGAAATGACTAAACTAAAAAAAAAGAAACTTTTGTTCTAAACCTTGAAGAACAACATCCAACAGAAAGTCAGAAATAAGGCTTTTTTCAGTCCTACATTTATCTGAACATCAGCTAACAGATTCACTGAGGTGAAGATGAGATTTTGGATTGGGAGCTTTTAGTTTTTCAGTTTTTACATCCGTCCACCAGATGGCGCTAATTGAGACCCAAATGAGCAAATTACAAACAGTGTTAAAAATCAGACTTCAACATATTTTATGGGTCATTACCCAGCTGTGCTTGCTTTTAAAGATAGAAATCCACTTCAGATGATGACAGACTTGTTGTTCTTGGTTTAAGGGGGCACCTCTTGGATCTTTAAGGAGGATTCATTCTATCAACAAACACAACCGAGCTGAGCGGACCGACTCTGACATAAGCTGTAAGGACACAACCAGTTTCTGTATCATATAAAGGACTTTGTGCCATTAAAAAGAGGCTTTAGCTCCTATAGAGGAGCTATTTTTGCATTCTCTGCCCCTTTGTCGTCACATTTCACCTGTTTTTCTTTCCTCCAGTTGAACAGATCTACACTAAGAGGCCCGTGAAGACCGACTCACCAAACGTAACGGTAAGCGTTGGGACTCCAGAGCTGGAAACGGTTTGTGAATCGAACCCATGTGGCAATGAGCTCGACCTGTTTCAGAGTTTTTGTCAACGATTTGCCTTCAGTGAACGTCCCCACTAAGTGTTTAAAGTCCAAACTGTGAGTTTTCCCCTTCATTCAAAGAGCCCGGGGGGCCGCGAATGGAAGCAGACGTGGCTCCGGACCCTGTTTGAAGCTTTGGGCTTTAATGGCGCCCGCACAGATGTTTGAGATGCCCGATGAGCTGATCAAACAGGAGCTCTTGGAGCTCTTTCCTTGCTTTTATCAAACATGTTGGCATCAAATTCAGAATAAGTGTTAAATATCGTTCCTTTGTGTTCCTTTAGTTTTACCAACTCATCCCAGCTGTGCCCAGAATCCCGACCAGATCCTTCTGTTTCTGGGGTTTTGTGTCTTTACCTGTTTGATTTTCCCCTGAATGAGACCTTATCAGTGACTCTTAGCTCTCTCTCATCGGTTGTCACAGTTGAGGATATCGACAGGATCGACCGGCAGCAGCAACAGTCCAGCCAGGTCAGTGGGTCCCAGACGCCGAACCCACAGAGCCTCCTGAACTCCTCAGTCTTCCTAAAACCAGGTTCCTCTGCTTCCTCTTCCTCACAGGGATCCGGTTTCCGAGTCAGACGACGACTACGACGACGTGGACGTGTAAGAAAACGCCTCTCTCAGCTCGTTTGTCTCAGTTTTCGGCTCAGTTTTTCCTCTGACTGTTTCTCTGCTCGCCGTGTTGTCCAGCCCGACGCTGCAGGCCGCCAGGTAAGCTGAGCGGACTCAGACCCCCCCCCCGAGACGCTCGTCCCCACAGACTAACCAGCTCTCTGTGACTCAGCAGCTCCAGCAGACCGGACGATGACACGCCGCCTCCGCTTCCTCCAAAGGTGACCACACAGAGAGCTCCATGTCCTTCTGTTAGCAGTAGGACGCCCAAATGTTAACAACATGTCAAAACAGCTCTTTGTATGAGGAACATTTTGCTGTTAGACTTCTCACAGAGGCTGTAAGAATCCACCAGTAGTGGTGGATGAAGTTTTAACTCCAGAGGTTTAACTCCAGAGGTTTTACTGCACAAAGCCAGCTTAAAAACAACATCAGGCCATAAAACAAAACCCAGCTGAGACTAACCAACCAAACTAAGAACAACCGATAAAGAAAACCAAAGACTGGAACACTGAGAAGAAAAAAACCCAATAAAAACAAAAGATTGAATCAGAAAGCAAAAGAGAGCAAAAACACAGAAGAGTCAAACCAATCTCCTTAAAAAACAACAATCCCATCACATTCAGCTGCTTCTTTCTATTCAGAGGTTTTCTAAATGTGGACATTAAAGAACAAAACATGATGATTAGAAAGAGAGGACTGATCAATGTTATCATCTTATTCAGACCAGAGCCAAGTTTCTGGTCAGTGGAATCGATACTTCATTCAAAAGAGACAACACCTTATCAAATCTGCACAAATGTTGTGTTAACAGGTAGTTTTTAAAGCGGTAATAGGTTATTTCTCCATTTGCTGCCCTCGAGGACTGTTGCCCATGCAGGTTTGGGATGTTTCCTGCTCCTCCACACTTGATTGGATAGATCTCCTTTAACAGATCTCAGTCATTCACAGGCCAGATGAGGAGAGCCCTGGTTTTCAGAATACTGAAGACGCTCTGTCTGTGCAGCCCAAGGCTCGGACCAGCTCGGAGGAGAGCGTGGCCGGGGAGGACGACCGGTCCAGGAAGCACTCGGCCCTGCACGCTCCCCCCGCCATCCACAGGACGTCCAGCGGGACGCACGCCCGGCCCAGACCCCACCCCCGACCCTCACGCCACTCAGGTGGGACCCCGCCCGCACCCCCAGATCCCAGACCAGCCCCGGGTTTTGCTAAAGGCTGCACCTGTCTGTGTCCAGACCCGCCCACTTTCCCAGCCCCGCCCACTGACAGCGCGGCCGACCTTGTGCCCCCCGAGCTGCCCCCCAAAGGCATCCGCAGGCGGCCCACTCCCTCCAAGGTGGATGCTTTGCTCTCCTCTCTGTGTTGCTAACGTGCCCGGGTGCTCCCCCCCCCTCATCCTGTCCCTGTTTGTTCCCAGGAGCACTTTGAGTGTCCCAGCCCGGTCATGAAGAAGCCCCCGGTGAGCTGTTGCCCCACCTGCTGCTACGCCTCCAGTCGCCCCCTGAAGGGGCGCAGTGGCATAATTTACCCCCCCCCTCTTTTCCCATGCAGGTCTACTTTAAGAAGGTCTTCCACGGCTGTCCCCTTAAAGTAAACTGCTCCACCAACTGGGAGAACCCCGCCTCCAAAGGTCGTATGGGGGCTCATTTCCCCGCCGCCCGTGATGCGACCTCTGTCTGAAGTGCTTCCTTTCCCCCCCGCAGAGCAGCACCTGATCCTGGGGGCCGAGGAGGGGATCTACACCCTGAACCTCAACGGCTCGGAGGTCACCATGGAGCTGGTAGGAACCCTTAGGGCCAGGGGCACGGCCACAGAGGCCGCTGAGGGTGGGCACCTGGTGAACGGCCCTGTGTCTGTTTCAGCTGTATCCTGGGAAGTGCACCTGGGTCTACACCATCAGCAACGTCCTCATGTCTGTGTCAGGTCAGTTTGGTCCAGAATATGCCTCCCTGAGTCTCTGTGTCCCCAGTTTGGACCCGAACCACAAACCGTTTTCTAAATGCTGTCGACTGGCCGAGTAAAACCAGACTTTCACTCATTTGAAGTGGGACGAAGGGGAAAAATAACCCCCGTTCCACATGAGCCAATCAGGAAATGATGCAGCAATTTGAAAAATGTGTGAGAATGATGGCAGAGAAAGAAATTAGGCTTCTGTCCCCATCCCTCATGTGTGGTAATCTCTTAAAAATAGGAAACAGTAAAGAGCCTTTAGTCTCCAGCTCTTTGCAAATATCCACTGATTCCTTCAACACATGTTCCATAAAAGCAGGAACGGGCAAAATAAGATTCCCTTTTCAACATGGCAAATAGATCAGAAAACAGGATGGATCCTCCCCCCTTAAAAAGAGGTGGATTATCAGTCAATTTGAAGCTGACTCAGCAACTGGAGCTACACTCAGCTATCATGAAAATTAGTGAAGAAGAAGAAAATGCTCCACGTTTTATCAGAGAAGTGTTGATTTAGTCATCAAATTACACATTTTTGTTTCTTAATCTGGACAAAAGATGTCAGTTAGAGAGTTGCACAGCTCTGTGGCATCACTGTAATCATCTCCTGTCTGTGTTGGTTTATTTTCCTCCTGACACTCCTGCTCAACCTACTATTTGAATTAAAGTTTGAAAGAAAGATTGTTATTTTCCTTTGTTTTTGCCACATGAATCAGACTAAGGCCGTGTGGTTCGGCGGTTAACACGTTTACATTTCCTGTACATCGCTGTGGTTTGTTCTCCGTTTGGTGTTTTGGACTCTGAGAACTATCAGCTTTCGGGTTTTTTTTAGAGTTATTAAAGAGCACATGATGCACGATGGGAACAAAACCAAGCACAGCAGAGGCGCTGCAGCAGGTTTATCAGGAAAAAGCAGAGAGAGAACAGCAGATTAAACGGTGACGCGCGTCTGCTCGTCTGTTTGCAGGCAAATCGTCACAGCTTCACTCACATTCCCTGAAGGAGCTGTACGACCAGGCCCGGAAAGACCAGCGGATGGCGGCCCTGCCCACCCACAGGCTGCTGCCCCGGTAGATCCGGCCCCGCCCGCCCGGGCCTCCTCCTGCCCCCCCAGTTCCCTCCATCTCACACTCTGCCTTCTCCTCTGTGTTTAGGAAGTGCGTCGTGACCTGCAAGATCCCCGACACCAAAGGCTGCCGGACCTGCTCCGTCGGTAAGGGGGGGCCGGGGTCTTCCCGGGGGTTTGGGGCGTGTCCTGGTGGGGGCTGACAGGGCTGACGGGGGCTTTGTGTTGCAGTGGGGAACCAGCAGAGGGGCTCCCTGTTCCTGTGCTGCGCCCTGGAGTCCAGCGTGGTGCTGCTGCAGTGGTACGAGCCCATGCACAAGTTCATGCTCATCAAGGTGGGTGCCCCAGGCCTTGCTTCCAGCCCCATTCCCCCCCCCCCCCCCCCCCCCCCAAAACCCCCCACTCCCAGCCTCTGCGCTCCCCCTCTGTGCAGCACTTTGACTTCCCGCTGCCCAGCCCCCTGCGGGTGTTTGAGATGGTGGAGGTGCCCCAGCAGGAGTACCCCCTGGTGTGCATCGGGGTGTCCCGGGGCTCCAGCCCCAGCCAGCCCGTCCTGGTGGAGTACATCAACCTGAACTCCAACACGTCCTGGTTCACCCCCTCCGGCCTGGGTACGCGTACAGCCAAGCAGCAGCCCCCCCCCAAAAACAGGGGCCGCCCCCACCCCGCGTCCCCGTTAACTCCAAACTGTGTGTCTGCAGAGAGGCCGAGCCCGGAGGTGGTTCAGGTGCACGCGCTGGAGAGGAACTCCCTGCTGGTGCTGATGGACAGTAAGTGGCCCCAGAGCGCCCCCCCTCCAGTGTGGAAATAATATTCTAAAGCAAAAAGAAATAGAGGATTTAGTCAAGGGAAAGAGCAACCAGCACGTTCATGCAACGAATCAAAACCAGATTACAGTGCATTTTACAGCCCTCTCTGAGTGTAAAACGAGAGTCTGTCCCCCATCCTGCACCGGTATTAAACAATCCTGAGACAAAACATTTTCAGACAAAATATAAGGAAACCTTCTCTGAGACTTTGAAGGAAGAAAGAGCCCCATGAGAAGGCAAAAAAAAACTTTAAAATATTCACTGGTGGAAAGTTAACAGAGAGAAATGAAGAAAATGATTATACATCTATTGATTTCCACTTCTGATTGCTACTAATACTATGTATTGATCACTACTAAAGAAAACAAAATGCACTGTACCATGAAACTACATTAAACCTACAAAAAATCTTAAGCATGCAATGAACATAGTACTTAAAAGTAGTAAAAGCCTCATTAACAGCATCAACTTTCCTGCTATCACAAAGTGAGTTTTAAACAAAGGCATCATGCCGATAAAGGATCCAAAATAAACATAAACACTTCAAATTAAGCATTAATTCATCATCGGCGCAGCTGAGCCAACAGAACTTCCTTCAAGTGGAGGAGTGAGTTGCATCACCTGAGAAAGAAACAGACTTATCTACACCATCAACAATCTGACTCACAGAATAAAGCAGCAAACAGTCAGAACTAACACCAAACTCCCCCTCCCCCACAGGGTCGGCCTACATCGTCAACCTGGACGGAGAGCTGAGGAGCAACCTGCACCTCCCCCATGAGACCACCTTCTCCCACGAGGTGGAGTCCATAGGTGAGAGCATCCGGAGGCTGGAGGGTTCAGTCAGGAGTCCCAGGCTGGGACTCCCCCCATCCTCACGCCCTCCTCCATTCCTGGTTAAAGCTTCAGAGTCCTGAGAGGCTCACCGGGCTCCGCTTTGTGCTCCCAGTGTATTTAAACGACACGCTGTTGGCTGTGTGGCGCCACGGCTGGCACCGGAGGGGGAAGGGCTTCTCAGAGACCCTGGAGGAGATATCCGACCACCGGAAGATCTACAAAATGGTGAAGTCAGACAGGTACGGCACACCTTCAGGGCTCAGCCGGCCCCGGATGACGGGTCTGCCTCTTTAAGAGCTCCAGACTTTAGAACTGAAAGCAAACGTGTTGGGAATTGATTTTGTCTGTCATAAAGAAGTTGTTCCATAGTGGAGATAGCACAGTTTCCATCTCCACTTTATTTATGAAGCTACAGCTTAGCATGCTGTGAAACGCACCCCCCCCCCCGGGTGGGGTTTAGTCCCCTCTGGGTACGGCCCAGTTCAGCCCAGCTGGGACCCAGTTCACTGTAACTCAGACGATTCCAGTTCAGCCAGAAGGCCTGAATGGCGACTGTGGGAAGAAAAAACTCACTTTAAACGGGATGAAACCTCCATCAGAACCAGAACCAACTTTGTGGAGCAGTTGGGGGCTGAGAGGACTGGAAAGGGGGTCAAACCAGAACCAGAGACACCAGAACCAGAATCACCTGCTGAGAGAGAGAAACACAAACTAATGACAACAGTGATGCCACATGGAGAGGAAAGAGAGCAGAGGGGGGAGAGGTGCATCATGGGAGCCTCCCAGCAGAACTATGGGGGGTTTCAGGGTCCCTGAGCATCTGTAACTATCAGAAAGGAAAGTCTGATCTTAAAGGTAGAGGGGAGGGGGAGTCTGCTTCCTGGACCTAGACTGGTTCCTCAGAGGGGGGTTTGACCATTGAATTGCGGCCTCTAGAGTAAACGTCAGGTTTGTCCCCCCCCCCCCCTTTTGGAGCCTGACCTCTGACCTCTCTGCAGGATGGTGGTTTTGGAGACGCGTCAGATCGAGGACCAGTCGGGTCTCTCCAACCTGTACATCCTGGAAACGGCTGAGAAGTACGTCCTGCTGCCCTGAGCCTCCTCTGCCCCCACATGGACGCTGCTCCGCCTCCGGGGGGCTCAGAGGGGACCACGGCCGCCTTTCTGCCCGCCGCCCTCGCCTGTGAGGGGCGTCAGGACTGTACGGGAGCTCCCCAGCCTCCATCTGAGGAAGCCCGCTCTAATTTATGCTACTTTCACTTTGGTTTGTGAGATCCAGACAACCTGGAGGCCCCGAGAAACGCCTGGAGGGGCTGAGAGGGACGGCCCGGCTCAGCCCCCGAGCAGGACCCCCCCCCCCCGTCAGTGTTATTAATCACAGAGGCGTCGGGGCCCTGTGGGCGCTCGGTGGCCTGAGCTTGTGTCGGCGTTGTAGGTGCTCTGTTACCGCCGTTACACTCTAATAAAGTTAATTAACTCAAGATGAGGTGAACTGTATTGATTCTGGAGGGGAAATCGGCTAATAAGCTGTGACGGGGGAGATAATTAAGTTATTTTTGCTTGTGATCAGGTGAGTCCACAGCACTTACTGACTCATCTTTTAGTTATTTTATTTACAACTCAACAGCTGATTCATCAGATGGTTTATATCAGATCAGATTACAACTCTGATAACAAAAAAGATAAATATTCTATAGAATTTAAATATAATTTACTTGCATCTTTTGGTTTCTCAGTGTTTTACACGTTTTGTTTTCAGATATAAGTGACTTTTATCTGCAAATCTTCTTTAAAATCATTATTTTATTTGTATGAGAGCAGTTTTTAAGGTCGTAGGACTGTGAGGCAGCCCCCCCGTTTAAAGTGGTTCTGATTGGTGACCCGGGCCGGATGTCCTCCCTTTACTCCCTCTACCACCGCGGGCGCGCGCAGCAGCAGCCCCTCACGCACCATCACACGCACGCCGTGCCCGCGGGCTGGTCGGAGGGAGAGACCCGGCGGACGGGAGCGGCCAGCGGCGGTGAGATGCTCCGGCTCCTGCTGCAGCTCCTCCCGGTTCCCCCCTCCTCTGTTCCAGCATCCTGAGAGGGAGCGCGCGCGCGTGTGCGTGCGTGCGCGTGTGTATGTTTTTTTTTTTTTATTGCCTCGAATTTATTTCCAGGTCAAAATCTCCGTTTCCTGTGCGGCTTGTTTGCACTAAAAATGGCCGGAGATGGCGGCGCTCTGAAGGATATCAATGAGATTAAATCCCAGTTCCGGACCAGAGAGGGCTTCTACAAACTGCTCACCCTCTCGGACTCGCAGCAGCGGGGCGGGCTGCCGCGGGGCCCGTCCTCCGGAGCCACGCTGGGCCCCGGGGGGGGACCGGGGCCGGTCCCCGGCGGAGGGGTCGGGCTGCTGCAGGGGCCCGGGCCCGGGGCCGCCGCCTCCAACGCGGCCGCGGCCGCCAACTCCTCCCCGGCCGGCTTCCTGCCGCCCGTCCGGGTCTCCATGGTCAAGCTGCAGCCCGAGGACCCCGGCGAGGAGTCGGAGCGGGTGTGCTTCAACATCGGCAGGGAGCTGTATTTCTACACCTACACCAACATCAAGAAGGTGAGCTCGCTCTCCTCCTCCTCCTCCTCCTCCTC